TAAAAAGCTTGCTGTACAAACCTGATGACCTGAGTCCAGTCTCCAGAACTCATGTAAAAAAAGCTAGTGGTGGTGAGTGCCCATGAGGAGGAGAGGCAGGCTCACTGGACAGCCAGTACTTGATGAACTCCAAGTCAGTGAGAGAACTTGTCTTAAAAAAACAAGATGGGGCCGGGCGGTGGTGGCGCACGCCTTTTGTCCCAGCACTCGGGAGGCAGAGGCAGGCGGATCTCTGGGAGTTCACAAGAGCTAGTCCCGGGACGGGCACAAAAGCTACAGAGAAACCCTGTCTCGAAAAACCAAAAAAAAAAAAAAAAAAGAAAAAGATGGGGCTAGGCCTAGGTGGTGGCGCATGCACTTGGGAGGCAAAGGCAAGCAGATATCTGTGAGTTTGAGGCCAGCCTGGTTTACAGAGTGAGTTCCAGCATGGCCAGGACTGTTTCACAGAGAAACCTTGTCTTGAAAAACCAAAACCAAACCAAAACAAAACAAAACAACTCCCAAGATGAAATTGGGCATGGTGGCATATAATTTAATTCCTGCGCTCAGGAGGCAGAGGCAAGAGAATTCCTGTGAGTTTGAGGCCAGCCTGACTTATTCATCCCAACCTGCAATGAAGGGCAAGAATGCCTTTAAATATAATAGGAAGTTTAGAAGCTGTTTATAGACTCTCATAGGCTAGGCATATGTTCTGTGGGCAAGAGCTGACCTATCTCCACTAGAGCATTTAGAGATTGTCTTTTACTTTCTTAATCATGGGTCCTTTCCATGCCTCTTGTATTTCAGTTGGTAACCATTTCAGCTTGTTGTTTTCTTCTGTTCTGTCTCTCCTGGATTTTAGTAGAAGTTGATTTGTGTACATTGTTTGTGTTTGAGGGAATTGAAACCAGACGCAGCACTAATACTTGTAGCAAAAGCTGCTGTTTGCATGCTGAACATCATAACAACTGTTCATCCCTTCCATTGGTTCCAGGGGAAATCAGCTTTGTGGTCTCACCTGTTACATTATCAGGAAAACCGGCAGAGAAAACTCACATCGGGAAGCCTTAGTACCTCAGGTAAGACCTTCTGTTCTCCTGCCCCTCGCTGGAATGATCTCGATTTCCCTGTCCAGGCCAGTGACACTTTGGCTTTGAATGTTTTCTGTTTTAAAGATAAAGTCACCTGGCTGGAGAGATCTCGGCTCAGTAGTTAAAGAGTGTTTACTGTGGTGTTGGAGAGAGGCAGCTCAGTGGTCAGGAGCACTTGCCACTCTTCCAGAGGACCTGGGTTGGGTTCCCAGCACCCACATGGTTGCTCACAGCATATGCGGCTCCGGTTCTGGGGGACCTATACCCTTTTTTTCAGGCATGAATGCAGTGTGCATATGTACAGACATGCGGGCCAGGCAATTGTACACATAAAAGAAAAATAAAATCTTTTTATAAAAAAAAGTGCTCATTTTTATTGCAGAGAACTAGAGTTCAGTTCCCAGCACCCATGTTGGGTAGATCACAACCTGTAACTAGATTTCCAGGGCCTCAAACATCCTCTTCTGGTCTCCATGGATACTCAAACACAGTGTAACCCACCCCCCCATACGCTCATACACACAAATAAAAATAAAATAAATCGTTTTTAAAAAATGGAGCTCCCAGGCTAACCAAACGACTGTACCACTGCAAAACAGGTTTGCTTTCATTGTCTATTAGTAGACCCCATTATTTTATTTTCTGAGATGGGGTTTCTCTGTAACTTTGGAGCCTGTCCTGGAACTCACTCTGTACACCAGGCTGGCCTCAAACTCAGAGATCCACCTGCCTCTGCCTCCCAAGTGCTGGGATTAAAGGTGTGCGCCACCATTGTCCTGCTTTTTTTTTCTTAAGATTTATTTATATATATATAGCCAGGCAGTGTTAGGAGGAGTGGAGACACAGAGAAGAGAGGAGTACTACCTTGAGGGGAGGTGTTGGAGATGGTGTGGGAGAAGGAGGCTTCTGGGATTTGGCAGAGATGGTCAGCAGGGTGCCCTCTTTGCTTCTCTGAGTTAGCAGGTTTTTACCTCAGCATCTGGCTCCTGAGTCTTTATTGGAGAATTCAAATGATTGAGATTTTGTTAAAAACAACAGATCTCTAGAAGATCAGCCAGTGCTCTTTCTTAACTGCTTAGCTTTCTCTCTAGATCCATCTCCACCCTGCAAAACAAAACAAAAACCTGTAGTTTGTAAGGGACTACAGAGACCATCTAGTCCAACTGTTTTACTTTATGAGAAAAAAAACCCTGAAGTCCCAAAAGGAACAGGATGTTTATAAGATCATCAACTAAGTTAATACAAAAGCCTAGGTTGGGAGCAGATCTCTGTCTACTCATCTAAGGGTCCTTCATGCCATCCTGAAGCGTTTCTTCCCATATATATACTGGTTCCTTTACAGCTCTCTTTATGTCCTCTTTTCCTTCTCCTTGCCAGAGGGAGTTTAGGACTTTTTTTTTTCCTTTCTCTTTTTTTCTTCTAATTTTGGCTCTTTGAGACAGGGCTCTGTGTATCCCTGGCTCGCCTGGAACTGCTCTGTAGAGTAGACCAGACTGGCCTTGAACTCAGAGATCTGCCTGCCTCTGAGATTAAAGGCTTGCACCACCTCTGCCTGGCTTTTATTTATTTATTTTTAAACAACAAGATTTCATTGTGTTCTCCTGGCTGACCTGGATTTTGCTATGTAGACCAGATGGCCTCAAACTCACTGAGATCCATCTGCTTTTGCCTCCCCAGTGCGGGGACTAAAGATGTGCACACCATGTCCAATCAGCTATTCTTAATGGTAAAGGTAAGTTAAATGGAATTTTAAAAAATGGACAGGAACTTCATGCCCTTGAACAGGTGACCTTCAGGTAGCTCTGGTGTAGGAAGATAATTGGCCAAAAACCAAGGACAGACTTTTTTTTTTTTAATTTTATTTATTGTGTATACAGAGCTCTGCCTGCATTTATCCCTGCAGGCCAGAAGAGGGCATCAAATCTCATTACAGATGGTTGTGGGCCACCATGTGGTTGCTGGGAATTGAACTCAGGACCTTTGGAAGAGCAGCCAGAGCTCTTAACCACTGAGCCATCTCTCCAGCCCAAGGCCAGACATTCTTGAAGTAGTTTATGAGGTAGTTTGGTGTACTTTGTGGGTGCGTGAGTCTCAGAGTCTTCTCAGGAAGTCTGTGACAGTTACTGCTAAGCAATAAGTTGCAGCAAAATATTCTCAACAGCTTGGTGATGGAAATGCTAAGCTTTAAACATAGGGCCTGGCACCAGGTCAGAGGTGTGGCTTCCCTTCTGGAGGTCCTAAGTGTTCTGGAACAGGTTCATTCTGGAACATTCTCTTGGCACTTTTGAAGGCAGAATTGGAAGTGAGTGGTAGCTCCAGGTGGAAGTCCTGCTTTCCTGGGTCATGTTGTGATTGCATACGATGAATTGAGAGCCAGATCTGTGCTCCAGTCCCTTCTGCCACAGAATCCACTTCGCTGTGACTCACTGTGTTAAGTGGGAAGACTGCACCCTTTTTTGGCTTTCTTGAAAATTATTCAAGAATTAAATAAATAAGGAAAAAAATCTAATCTCTCTTAGAAATTTAAGAATGTTCGTGAATGACTATTAAGGTATTAATGATATACCCCACTGCTTGCTGTAGAATTTGTGATTTGAAACATGAGAGAGTTGGCTCTTTGGATGCTCAGGTCTCCTTGTTGTTCCAGGAATACTTCTTGATTCAGAACGGAGAAAGTCTGATGCCAGTGCCGTCATGTCTCCCCTGAGGATCTCCCTAATTCAGGATATGAGGTCTGTCTGTGCTCATCTTGTCTCAGCTGTTGCTTGGGTGTGACACTCAGCCGACAAGATCTTGGGGCTGTGAAGCATTTCAACTAACCCAGCTAATTAGGAAGTCTTCATTATTGGTCTTCGTGTAGTTTATGAAAAGGTGGCTTCCCTGGTATTCTGGTGAACTGTCCCAGGAGAGAAAGAGTACAGGAGAACACTTCACCACCCCAGGGTTTGGGATTAGCCTGGTTTGTTGGAACCTATATTCTCTGATCTTTCTCCTAAATTGTGAGAAATCTGTCTGGCAAAGCCACATGGGAGAACGAGAGTGGCTCTCTCTCAGGGTTGTAGGGCTGTCTTGTCTACCTTCTTTGGCTCACAGGCGAGGCTATGACAGTGAGTTCATTTTCCACCCCACCCTACACTTTTTCCCTTAGGCACATCCAGAATATTGGGGAAATCAAAACTGATGTGGGAAAGGCCAGAGCATGGGTTCGACTGTCCATGGAGAAGAAGTTACTCTCCAGACACCTGAAACAGCTTCTTTCAGACCACGAGCTCACCAAGTAAGACCACTCCACTTGGAGGAGAACAGGGTTCCAGGGTTGGCAGGGGATAAAAAAGGGGGAGTGCATGTCACTGCAGCAGCGTGCAGCATGTCACTGCAGTAGCGAGCAGCATGTCACTGCAGCAGCGTGCAGCATGTCACTGCAGCAGCATGCAACATGTCACTGCAGCAGCGTGCAGTCAGACCCAGGCTGTGGACAAAGTCCCTATATCAGCAGAGGCATACTACTTTCTGATCCCCCTCCTCGGTCTGCGTGCCTAAAGCTAGTGGGTCCTCCTCTTCTTCCTGGTACCTTTTGGTCATGAGGCATTTTTTTCTTCTATTTCTTTCCTGTCTCAAGAAGCAAAGGGTTGGAGAATTAAAAGGAAACTTCCAAGTTTCACCCCTTATCTCTTTTCTGAGTCTGCGGTCAACCCAGAACAGCAGTTACATTTGTTTCTTCCTTGACTGAACCTTCCCAGAACTTTCACATCGCCCCTAGAACCTCTCCCTCCACACCTCCCACTAGGATAGGGAGGGAGTCCAAGGTGCTCACACTTCCCAGAGCCACCAAACCCACAGTTTATGCATCTGTGACCCCCCCCCACAAGACTGTTCCAAACCCAGGAATAAGAGTTCCTTCTTTCTCTGCCTCTCAGATGACTCCCCCGTGTCCTTTCAGATACAGAACATCTGTATTTTTGTAGCTTCTTGTTGTTGTTGTTAGTGGTGATGGTGGTGGAGATTAAGGACCTTACACAAGCAAGGCAAATGTTGTACTACTTAGCTAATAAGTCTTCAGCCCCAATCTTATTTTTTTTTAAGCTTTAGCCCTATTAAAGAGGACATTAGCTTAAAATTCACTCAGTATATAGTACTTTCTTACTGATGTTCTGACCCTTAAACTATTCCAGTGACTAGAAAATGAGATTTGCTTTCACAGATTGCAGTTTGGAGTATAGGAGAGAAAGAGTACTACATCAGCTGAGTCCCCTGGCGTTAGCCCACATGGCATTGCTATAACAGAATACCCAATGTTGGATATTTTATAAAGAAAAAAGATTTACTTATTTTACAGTAAATGGGATGCTGGAAGTTCAAGATTAGGCATCCACATCTATTCGACCAATGGCTAGGGCTTCCCTGGCTACATCGCAGCACAGAAAAGGTAATCCCCACGTGCAGAAGGGACACGGTGCATGGAGTGGTCTCAGTTTATGTTAACCTTCTGCTCTTGTGAGCACTCACTCCACAAGAAGACCACCGTTAACCCTGCTGAGAGTGCTGCTCCTCTGGCCCAGGTGCTTTCTTTGAGGTCCTACATTTTAGTATTTTACTTCAGTATCACCATCCTGTATCTTTCTCTCCAGTACTCAGGCTTCAACAACATGCCATGCATTCCTCCTTTGCAGGTGTCTTCCGTTGTTCTTGTTCACCAGTGTGACTACAGTCTCATCCTCTCTCCGTCTACCAATTGCTTTAGGACCTGGTCAGAAGTTTTCTTTACCAGAGCTTTCTTGGATGCCTGAGCTGTTTGTCCTAATGAGGCATTTGCGATAGCATTTGTTGGTCCCTCCTTTACCACTTATATGCTACGTTATCTATTTGTTTGCTGATTATTAAAGTCTTCCTACATTGAGAAGGTGAACTGTGTGCCTTTCCCAGTGCTGTTCTGGCAGGTTGCTGAGTATCTAGAAGAAATCAAGCAGTGTCTGTGAAGTGTGTGCCTGACTGCCCGCCCAGGCAGGAACAGAACTGTCTTGAAGAGTCAGTCTTGATAGACTATTCTTTAACCTCTGGCATTTTCAGCTCGCTACTAAGACTGTTGGTAGCTTGGAGGCCGAAGAAGGTGGAGGGGGCCTTATATTCATGAAATTCATTGAGCCATAAACTCTAGAGGAACAAAGTAACATCCATGTTCTAAGTCCAGGTCTCCTTGACTTCTCCATAGTGACTTTCTGCTGGTGTGTAGTGTGCACCCCCCCTTACCTTAATGTCTCTGTGGTGGCTTCCTGCTGCTGTGTTGTGCTTCCTTTACCTTGAAACTGCTGTGTGATGTATGGTTGCAATTGTCCTTCTGCTCTTTTATTTTTCCTCCTTAAAAAATTACAATATTCATTTATTGTGCCAGTGTGTGTGTATGTGTGTGCACGTGTGGGTGTGTAGGTCAGAGGACAACTTCTTGGTGTTAGTTCTTTCCTTTCACCACGTAGGTATCAGGGTGGAACTCAGATTTCAGACTTGGCAACAGGCCCAAGAGTAAAATCACTGAGCCATCTCACCACCCTGCCTCCTGTTTTCTTTCTCCCCCTGCTCTTTGAAGAACGTTGGCTTCAACAGTCTTCCAGTCTCTTCCTATGTGCCATTTCTTTGTCTCTGTCTTACTTGCTTTCTCGCACTTGATCTCACCCACTCATGCCTTTAGTCACCTCTGAGCAGGTGACTTTCATCTCTGCAGCTTGTAGCCCTGCCCATTCTTGTGAGCTCCAGTCCTGCATTTATTTCCATTAGACCATAGGAATAACTTGGAGAGAATAAAGCAGGCTTCACATCCCATGGTTAAGTTCCTTCCAGGTTTGCAGTGTCTCTACTGTTCTCTATGAACATCCTGACATCTTCCCCCCCTCTCCCGACACCCACAGTCCAAAGTAAAGTCAGTTTTGATGCCACTGTTCTGCGCCCTCTAAAGAGGCCGAGTCCTTAGCTCCCACCTTCCCTGGCTCCTTGCTTTTTCTGCTGCTCAGTTTTATTTTAGTCATCGTTCTCTTTTCAACCTCCCACCACACCAACTAAAGTTCCTAAAATCGGCCTTACTTCCCCTTTACTTCTAAGGCACAATGTAGAAACCCATTACTTAACAAAGCAAATTGCAAGTCATTAGCCTGAGGGTGTAGGGCCTTCCTTTATTTTGTTCTGGCCTAACTTTCCAGCCTTATTGCTACTTGATTGGTTCTGGGCTCTCAACTCTAATTACTCTGATTTCTACACTTCCTTTCCCTGTGAACATCTGTCTGGCGCTGTTCTCTAGACCCTTCTTGATCTGAAAACATTGCGGGACTAAGCTCACTGTCTTTTAAATTCCTCGAAAGATCCTTTCATCTAGTAACTTATTAAATGTATTGGCATTTACCCAATAGAGGGCAAGCACTTCCCATCTTAGGACCTGTGGGTAGCTGGTGATGATTGTAGTGTGGGCAATTAGAATAGTTGTCTCCCTTTTTCTCTGTATTTCTCTTTGACAAGGGCCTGAACACTATGCTCTCAGCATCTCCCTTTTTATGGAAGGTACCATTGTTGTCAAACCCCAATTAGGGAAAGGAATTGGCCTTTGGTGTGCTGTCTCTTACCTGTAAGCTGGGTCTGAGGTAGGAGCCGGACCTTACCCTGCACCACCTGTAGCCTGGTAATGAATGGACACCACAGACCTTGTGCCAACAGCGTTGTGTTACCTCTGATGGACTGCAAACCAGTCCTTGGTTTAACAAGGAGACTCCGTGTGACAGTAGAGTAACATCAGCATGTGATTTCGTTGGACCTGCTGCGGCTTAAGCTCTTTCCTTGTACCCCAGCCTTTACACAGTGCTCCTGACATCTCTGCTTCCTCACCATCTGCTTGTGGAAATGAGCTCGCTTAGCTTCTCCCTCTCCCTGGCTGGGATTGATGTGTGGATGTCTTGCTCTAACAGGAAGCTGTACAAGCGTTATGCCTTTCTGCGCTGCGATGATGAGAAGGAGCAGTTCCTCTATCACCTGCTCTCCTTCAACGCGGTGGACTACTTCTGCTTCACCAACGTCTTCACCACCGTCTGTGAGTAGCTCTGCTCCACTCCCCACTGGCCTGCGGCTGTCCTTTTTTTTTTTTTTTTTTTTGAAAAAGAGTCTCATTGTGTAGCCAAGACTGGCATCAAAACTAAATTCATGACAATCCTCCTGCCTCTGCCTCCCGAATACGTATATGCACCTTCGCACCTGGCTTTCCTTGTATTTCTGTTTGCCTTGTGTGTCTGTGGGAGAAGTAGGGGTGTAGCTCCTTCTGGATGACTGTTTTCTCTGAACTTTGTCTTCTCATGTCAGTGCTGTTCCAGACTCTGCTCTTGGAGCTAAAGGAATAAGTGTGCCAGGAACTAGAGTGGTGTCTCAGCATCACAGATTTGTGGTAGCCTCAAAAAGAAAGATCTCTTCCTTAAGTAGCAGGAAGAACTCCAGTGGCAATAGGTGACTTTGCTAGTCCTGCCCTAACTCACTGTATTCCTGTGAGCATTGTATGTCCCTGCTGGGGCCTCACTCTCCATTCCTCCAGAGGAGGAGAATTCAGGATATTTTAAGGTCTTTGACCCTCATCCTTGTCTGATGCCAAAATT